AAACGTCAGTCTTGGGTCAAGTCTCGCTTTACGCCGAGGTCCTGCCACGCATTTTGCTGTTCTCTCCAGCGAAATTCTACCCAACATCTCCTACAAACTTGCCATGAAATCCTACGTGCTTGCGTCAATAATTCTGACTGTCCTTCAAATGCGTCATGATGTCCACGCTTTGCTGTAGTGTCGGTGGTGACGTGGTAGTCCCACAACAAAGTTACGCATCAATCTTTTTTTTTTTTTGTTACCATACTGCTTTTGGTGGGATGAAAACCCCTCATACTCTTTTCGTTGCACCATTGGTAACTAAACTCTTGGAAGCATAACATCCCCTCATACGTGCTGTTGGTGGCTTGATAACCCCTCACACGTTCAGTTATCTCGTTCGTGACAACCGTACTCTCTCTTTCATCCCAACATCACACATTTCGCAGAATTCCGAACGCAGGAAACGGTTCAGACACAAAAAATTTCGGAACACAAAACAAGGCCATATTCGTCTTCGGACAGAGGACATGATCATTTCATCACGTGCCTGAGCGGGTCTGGGACCCTAGTAGCAGAAGTGGTGCTGCTGTAATGCGCTGAGCCGCCCCTCGGGGGCTCGCGCGATGGTCAGGGGGATGTCGTCCGCGGGCGTGGTCGATGGTTCTAGGCGCGCTCCCTGCTGCTGGCCTACCTCGTACTCTTCGCTCTCTCGCATGACTTTTATCTAACCCTCTCCTGCTTTCACCTCGCAGCTGACGTCCGGACTCCTGTTGACTTCTTCTGCTTCAACCCGCGCGCTCTTGTCGACGCTGCGGGAGCTATCTTGTTCTTCGTTCCTGGCGTCCTCCGCTGCTTGGCGGGCCTCCGCTGCTCAGCGGGCCTCATCTGCTTGGCGGGCTCCATCTTCGCGCCTGGTAGCCATCTCGACCCTGCTCTCGATCGCCGCAAAGCGATACTCCTAAACCAAGCTCGACCGCGAATCTCGNTTCAACCCGCGCGCTCTTGTCGACGCTGCGGGAGCTATCTTGTTCTTCGTTCCTGGCGTCCTCCGCTGCTTGGCGGGCCTCCGCTGCTCAGCGGGCCTCATCTGCTTGGCGGGCTCCATCTTCGCGCCTGGTAGCCATCTCGACCCTGCTCTCGATCGCCGCAAAGCGATACTCCTAACCCAAGCTCGACCGCGAATCTCGTAGACGACGTGTCATAGGCTAGCGTGATCGATAATTCGGTTGGCTCAGTTGTGTGTGATGGGCGTGTAGAGCAGCTCGGCCATTACGGGCCGTAGGGGTAGGTAACGTCGTGCAGACGTGTTGGAAAACGTGTTGTATAACGTGTTGTATTAATCGGGGGCGTGCTTGAGCTCGTCATTCCATCACGGCATCAAGTCACGCATAACGCTCAAACACCCAAAACGAATCTTCATGAATCTACACCAACCACACTCCCAAGGAAAACATAAAGAAACTTCTTATTCCTCCGTAGTTCGTCAATGCAATACCCGCATATGTATACGCAATATACCACCCGCATGCTATGCTACGAGTATATCGAATATATTGGACTGCTGTGTTGTGGGGTATGCACTGCTGTGTATGTGTCCCAGGAAATGTGTACGAGGCCAGAGTGGTGGTGGGAGTGCCACACGAACGACATCTATTTGTCTGTGGCCTGCTGACCTTTTAGGCCGGAAAGAGAAAGACGTTGTGTTGTTGTGTTGAATACTTGACATATACGATCTGCAGCTGTTGCCACAACTTCGACACCGCGAGAGAATCGGTGTTTTTAGCCTTTGACATTATTGGTGTCCTGCTGCTGTCAGCCGGCAAAGCTTGTGATGAAAGCTTATTTGTGCGGGAAGTACGCCGACGGGCGTGTTGGCGGATCAGTTACATGTGTATACATAGTTCTGGCGGGGGGGTTGTTATCGTCTGGGTCGACATGTTCACAGCCTGTCATCAACCGCGCCACAGCAGTGGCAAAACTGCTGGTTCTCTGTTCCACTAACTTTTAGTCGGACAACATCAAACACCTCGCCGCGTGACCCGATCTTCCGAGGGACAAATTCTCGTTGTCGAGAATCTATGTGGACAGGCATAAACAGCACCACCTACCATGTTGTCGCGTTCACACCGATGCCCTTGACGCGTGCAGGCCTGCTACGACGCCGGGACGGCGCTCAACGCGCGAGGCCGTGGGGTTCAGCTGAGGACGCAGGAGTGCTTCACCCAGGCCTGCCGCGCGGTCTGGCCTGACGACCAGCCGCTGCCCGCTGCTGTACATGCCGCTCTTTCGATGTAGTGTATGGCGCACGTGCCATCGGCTATGCACGCGGGGCAAGGTAGTTATGTTGTCTGTTTTGATGAAGCCGAGACCGGCGGGCGAATGTGCTGGCTCGATTTCCCAATGGGCGAAAGGGCTAAGGTAGTTGCAGCATATTCGACATCAA